GGGATGGTGCTGGGATCCCCAGTGAGCACTAGGGTGGGGCTGGGATCACCAGTGACCCCTGGGATGGGGATGGGACCACCAGTGAGCACTGGAGTGGGGCTGGGATCACCAATGACCACTGGGATGGTGCTGGGATCCCCAGTGAGCACTGGAATGGTGCTGGGATCCCCAGTGAGCACTGGAATGGTGCTGGGATCACCAGTGAGCACTGGAATGGTGCTGGGATCCCCAGTGAGCACTGGAATGGTGCTGGAATCACCAGTGAGCACTGGGACAGTGCTGGGATCACCAATGACCACTGGGATGGTGCTCGATGACCTTTTCTGCCTCTTTAACCTTCAAACAAGTGAACTGCAAGTGTCCTAAATCCAAAGTAAGGGTTGTTTTTTATAAATGTGCCCCCAGGAACTGAAGTTTTCCATGACTTTCAGTGCACGGTATGAAAAATTACGTCAGAGATTGGGGTAGTTCATGTAACATTCTCTTTTTAAGAGAATTCTCTAAGCAAGAGGCACCCAAAGCTTTTTCCATCCACTAAAATCCTTAAAGCAAATAAGTGAATGAACAGGGGGATGTTTCAAGTTGTATAACTCAGCACCACCCTCCTGCCAAGCTTATCTTGGCATCTGTGCTCTTGGTGTCCCAAAGGAGGAACAACAGCACAACAGCATTTTGGGGAATCATCACAATTATTGATACATCTGAAAGGTTTGCTTCTCTTCCCAGTAAAATGTTTTTCTCACTGAAACCAGTCGTAAGTTCAGAGGTTGGGGTTTGTCTAATTGTAAATCTGTGCTTTAGATATCACAGAATGTCCTCAGCTGGAAGGGACCCACAAGGATCATCCATCCAACTCCTGGCCCTGCACAGACACCCCAACAATCCCACCCTGTCCCTCAGAGCATTGTCCAAACCCTCCTGGAGCTCTGGCAGTCTTGGGGCTGTGCCCACTGCCCTGGGGAGCCTGGTCAGTGCCCAGCCACCCTCTGGGGGAAGAACCTTTTCCTAATAACACAGTTCCAGGTCTCCTGGCACAGGGATTTGTCCCTCAGCCGAGCTGCACCAGCCTTGGCCATGAATTATAAATATTAGTATGATTCATTCCTCCCGAGCCACGGGACGCAGCAGGTCTGAGCCATGTCTGCCACTTCCCTGTGGCAGGGAAGGGTTTCCAGGCTCCTCTGGAAGCTGCTGTAGCCTGAATTCAGTCCTGCCATCCCTGTTGGCCAGAAATTATCCTTTGGTCCTTCCATTAACACGTTTGTGTCATGATCCCTTTCAGGGCTACGACGACACGTACGCAGACCAGAGCTACGAGGGCTATGAGGGCTACTACAGCCAGGGCCAAGGGTGAGTTGGCTTCTGTCTTCCTGACATAATGCATGACCTTTATTCTCTTTTTTTTTCCATTTTAAGGGAATGCAAACACTCATTTCTGGGCCTGAGCTGTAGAGAAGGTGCCCTGTTCTGCTGCAGGAAATGACACGGACAACACTGGGCATCTTTGCTTGTCCAGTGGTTGTGCAAGTTGTGTCAGCTTGAGAATGTGATTTCACTGGATGTAACCACCTAATTACTCTTCCAGGGACACAGAATACTATGATTATGGACACGGGGAGGCACAGGAAACCTATGAAGCTTATGGTATGTCTGGGAATACTGTTCCTTTCACAGGGAAGGGGCTGCACGTAGTTGGGAATTGCTTGTGGCCAACCAGCAGTTTTCCAGTGTCACTCCAGGGTCTGAACAAAAACTGAGGAGAACCTCAAGTAGTTTTCAAGGTAGAACATTTATATCTAGGTCTGAACAACCAAAGACATTCTGTGGGTTTAGGTCCTTATCAAGCTTGATTGTCTCAAAAATGACACTTTAAAAAATCCATTTTTTAACTATGGAAATATCTTAATTTCCTTGTAGCTTTAGAATATTTTAAGAGGTCTGGATTTCCACCCACAGCACTACTGCTGCAGTCTGGTCTTCATGGACTGTGTTTTGTATGGCTCCATCTGCTTCCTTATCCTCAGAAACCCGCTACCTGATCCTGACTCTGTGCTATACATTAGCTTGGAAAATGGATTTGTATGTCACACAAAGGCCTCTCTTTGGAACAATTTTGCTCAGTATGACTTGCAAGTAGTTTATGAAGTTCAGTTAATTTGAATTATGTAAAAATACCGACTTGGGCTGGACTGAACCAAACTGCTGTGGCTTAACCCCAAGGGGCAACCAAGCCCCACCAGCTACTCACTCACTCCTCATTCCTGGGATGGGGGAGAGAATTGGAAGGGTAAAAGTGGGAGAACTCACGGGTTGAGATAAAGACAGTTCAATGGGAAAAGCAAGGTTAAACAAAGAATTAGTTCCTTGCTTCCTTGGGAAGACAAACACCATCACTGCAAAGGTTCTCCCCTCAGCTGTGGCTGCATTTCTTTTTTAAGCCAGTTCCTGTATCCAGGCTTGGAATGGCAGCTGCACGTGGCCATGAGTAAGAAGCATTTTCCTCTCCCTCTAAACAAGCCTGTGCTGCTTTGGGCTGGGGCAGAGTTAATTTTCTTCCCAGTGGCTGCTCTGGGGCCGAGTTGGGGATTTGTGCTGACGATACAGAGATGTTTTGTTGTTGCTGAGCAGAGCTCACACACAGCCAGGGCCTTTCCTGCTCCTTGCACCACCACTCTGGCATGGGACTGGGGAAACTGGGAGGGCACACAGCCAGGACAGTGCCCCAGCTGACCAGAGGGATATTCCAGACCACATGACATCACAAGTTCCCAAAGCCGCACAGCATAAAGGCCCAGAATTCCATGTGATTGGAAACAGTCCCTCTCCCAGAGCATCAGCTGAGTGAACGCAGGTAGTGACATTAATGACCAGCTGGAGGGGCTTTCTGGGATCCCTGGGAACTGTGGGAATCCTCTGTGCCCTGTCATGCCATTAATAGGGAAGCAGAGTTAATACCCTGCTCCAGCCTCGGGGTGTTCCCTGCTCCGGGTTTAAGCTGTGGGAAGTTCAAACTCAGGTGCCTGAGCAGGGATGTTTTCCAGCCTAGGCTGCATTTGAGCAGACAGCTGCTCCCAGGAACGTTGGCTCTTTCCTGCCTTCAATGCCTGGGTTTGTTGCCTGTGTTTGTCACGCAGCACAAAGAACCCTTTGTGCCTCCAGCTTGGTGGGAGAGCGGCGGAGTCGGCCGGGACTGGGAGGCCAAAATGCTCATTGTACACTTGGCATGAAGTTGCCACGGCTAATCTGTTTATCCACAGCAATTTCCTTTGGTCTCTGCTTTCATGAAAACAGAATTAGAGGAATAAATCACTGGGCCAGGCTGGAGACAGTTTGGGGAAAAGGGGAATGTGCTCCGTGGTGGTAGGAACAGGCTGGGCTGTCGTGGGACTCTTGATTTCATAAAGTGGTGACCCTGGAGAGACTGGCAGGAACACGAGGATGGATGTTGCAAGCACAAGCCTTAATGAGAGCTGGGCTGGGATGTTTGGGGCTGGAGCTGTCTCAGGGACAACAGGGATGTGAACTCTGTTTGCTTCAGAGGTGGTTCATGGAATCCTGGAATGGTCTGGGGCAGGAGGGACCTGAAAGATCATCTCGTTCCAACGCCCACCACAGGCAGGGACACCTTTCACCTGCCCAGGACCTGCTTTTGGTGTCTGGGAAGGAGGGAAGCACTTCCTGCAGCTGTCCCTGATGGCCAGACCCTGGGATTAGGGATGCTGGCAGAACCCCTGGCACAGCTGGTGCCACACTGCCCTGGGGATTGGCTTTGACCCTGCTGGAATTAATTACTCCTGAAAGGCACCGGGTTCGTCCAAGTTGGAGCTGCAGGAGATTTTGGGAGCAGGAGATGTGGGAGCTGGGCCTGGTTAGTCTGGAGAGGGCAAGGCTGAGAGGAGATCTCATGAATCCCTACAAATATCTCTTCAATCCACACAAATATCTCATCAATCCATATAAATGTCTCACCAATCCATACAAATATCTCCAAGGGGTGTCAGAGGATGGTCCCAGACTCTGTTCAGTGGTGCCCAGTGACAGGACAAGGAGCAATGGCCATAAACTAAACCACAGCCAAGTTCCACCTCAACCTGAGGCAGAACTCCTTCCCATGGAGGTGGCAGAGCCTGGAACAGCTGCCCAGGGAGGGCTTGGAGTCTCTGGAGACATCCCAGACCCCACCTGGACACGTCCCTGTGTCACCTGTGTCTTTCCCACTGGAAAGTCTAGTGGTGGGTTAATTGGGCTCAGTCTTAAAGGGATTTTCCAGCCTAAATCATCCTGTAAATCCAATATTTTATGGGACCACGGGGCATTTTCTGGTCGGGTGCTGGGCTGAAGGTGCCCATCCAACACCACCACCGCATCCCTGACATCTCCTTGTCTCCTCCACAGGGCAAGATGACTGGAATGGGACCCGGCCCTCCCTGAAGGCCCCGCCGGCCAGGCCAGTGAAGGGGGGCTACCGAGAGCACCCCTACGGACGCTACTAAAAAAACACAAAACAATGAGGGAAAAATCCCACTTTTGAGCAAAACAGTTGTTACTGATTCTTGTATCTCCCGGGATTCCCGTTGCTTTGCCCACACCAGACAAGTAATTGTCTAACTGTTTTTCTTCGTGGCCCTTTTTCTCCCACTCCATCCTCACCCTGCATTTCGGCTTCTGTACGTAGTACTTTTAAAAAAAAAAGATGAGTTAAATAGATTTTTTTAGAGGAAGCGACTTTTAATTTTTATTTTTATTTTTTTTTCAGTGTGTAGGTGGCTTTTTCTTCCTTTGTCGTTTAGATAAACGCAACTGTACCTTTCTTTTTTTTTTTTTTAAGGAAAAAAAACAAAACAAAACAAAAAAACTACAAAACCACGGTTAAAAAAATGTTAGTTTTCCAAAGTGACATGCTTTGCTTAGCAGCTATGAAATTAAGGTTTTGTTTAAAACTTTTTAAAGTTTGTTTTAAAGGAACCCATAAAGGTTGTAGTTGCAGAATCCCAAAGTAGGCTACATTTCAAAATTCAGGGCTATTTTTAAGCATTAAAATCATAATGTAACGGTAGTAGCTGCCACCATTTTTAAAAAAAAAGGAAAAAAAAGTAACTTCAGATGCCAAACCTTCTTTAAAAGGAGATTGCTGGTGAATCTTGAAGTTTAAATTTTAATACGAAGGATCCTCCAACAAATTAAATAGCATTTTTTTTAAAGAGAATTGACCTAAAAGAAAAAAATTAGGTTTGTAAAATTGACTTTTCTTATGTGGATTTTGAAATCTAGCCCCCGTGCAGTGTTGAGATATGCTTGGGAAGCAGATTTTTTCCAGTGTAAAGGGGTTCTTAGTTTGGTTCTAGATGAACAATTTTAAGGGAAAAGCAAACAAACAAACAAACAAAGCATGGCTCTAATTGCCCAGTGTTTGATAGTAGAAAGCAGAATATTCCATGGGTAGGTCTGAACTCTGTAAAATTCTCATTTTTTTTATAGTGCTTGGGGCAGATAATCCAGTGCAAGTTTAAAACTGACACACAAAAAAAGATAAATGTCAATATTAAGCAGTCCCATCGACTTGTTCAAGTGTATCTCAGCACGAGCTTTGCATAAAAAGGGACACTGCAGCTGGGAAAAAAAAAAACAAAATGATCTAAAATTTCACTTTGTACATAAGATAAAGTCCTAATTGGATTTGTACACTGTCCTCCCACTCTGTTCTTGAAGAGAAAAATGCTACATGTGTAAGTCTGCCTAACTAGGTAGCTAAAAAAACGTGTCAAAATGTCTGTCGCAATTTGTCAATAAAGTTTAGTCCTTTTTTAATCAAAGTAAATGTGATGAATTGTCATTTGTTTTGGTTGAGCGATAAAAAGTAGCGATTTTAATTTTTTTTTTCCGTTTCGTTTGTTTTTAAATAAATTTAAATTAATGCTAAAGCTAATTGTCTTTTTAAAAAAACGATGGAGACATTCTTAAAAAAAAATGGTGGTTTTTTTTGTAATTCTCACCAAAAAAAAAAAAAAATTTACTGAGCTCATTGAATGAGCTTAAATTTAAAAAAAAAAATTATATATATATGAAAAAGAAAAATTTGTTTTTCACCCCCTGGAAGTTGTTGAAAGCGGTTTGAGCCTGGACTGGGGCAGAAATCTTGACTTGAAAAGTGTTTTATGGTTCTTTGCTGAGTTAGTGATTCAGATTTCAAGTGGCCTCGGAGAATATTCCGGGCTGCAAGACTCCAGCTTGAGTCTGAAATCCCTGGTTTTAAGTAGCGTGACAAAAGGAATGCTGAAAATTCCAAGGCTTAGCTGCCACCAGGAGGAGAAGGAAGTTGCTTTCTGTAAAACCCCCCCCCTTGGCTAAGATGATGCCCTTCCTACTTCACGGTAGCTTTTGCTTGGAAAAACCACTTTAAAATGTATTTTTGTTGGAGAACGGTGCTGCAGCTGCTCCTTAAATCCTTCTGAGAGGGTGTGGATGTAGAGACATATATAATATATATATATATATATTTTTAAAAGTTAATGCTTCTTAAAGAGACATGAAAAAAAATGGTTTGTATTTCCCACCTCCCAAACGAATTTGGAGCTCTTAAGGGGAGAGAATTAAACTGCTCGGGGGTGAAAAATGAGAATATTAGGGAGCAAAACCGTGGCAGCGCATGAACGAGGGGAATACTTTAAAAAAGAAAAAAAAAAAAACCACAACAAAAAACCACAAAGTTGTTATTTGTAGATTGTTATTAAAGTGCAAATAACCGAATTTTCAACACTGGTTTGGAGTCAGCTTTCAGGGCATAATGTGTTGCTTGATGAAAAGATCTGCCCATTGCCCCCCTTTTAAAGGAAAATTATCGCAGGAGAATCAGGATGTGTAAAGCTAACAGGCATCGCCCAAAAGGTAACCTAAATGTCTGATTTTAACAGCGCATTTCTCTTTTCCATAAACCCCGTGAAGTAAACTTTTTTATCGAGCCAAGCCTTCAGATGTTTTAATTTTAATGTTAAAAAAAAAAAGAAAAAAAAAGAAAAAAAAAAAAAGGCGACTCGCGAAAAAAGGAGAAAAAAAAATGTTTAAAATAAAAACGTTTTAAAACAACCCACTTTTTTTTTTTTTCTTTCTGCATAAATTAGAGATATAACTTTAATAAACGTGCCCTCGGAGATAAAAAAAAAATGCACTCCGGTGGAATGTGGGCAAAGCTTTAAATATCCAAGGATGTAAAACGAAAACGAACGTTAGTTAGTTCCTGCTACTGCCAAAAAAAAAAAACAAACCCCCCAAATTCCACTCTCAGTTGTTTAAAAATGTAAACTTTTTAGCCTCCCCCCCACCCCAGTATTGCTGTTCCCTGTGAGACGTCCACAGCTCAGCTGAAGTTGCATGTTTTTCCTTCATGTGTAATAATTGCATGTGGGAATCCTTTTTTTTTTTTTCTTTCTCTTTTTTTTGTTGTTTTTTTTTTTGTTTTCTGAGGGGGGTGGTGGTGGGGAGGGTGGGATTTGTGCTTCCATTGAGGAGCCTCACGAAAATTGTCTTTGATTTGCAGGAGCAGAGAGTTCAAAGCCGCGACTCCGCCGGGGTGAGGAGGAGCAGGGGCAGCGCCCACGGGGGTGAGTCTGTGTGTGTTTTTACAGCGTGGGGGTGGCACCATCTGAGCTGCTAAAAAACCACATCCACACAAATAAAAAAAGGGAAAGCTGGCTCTCCCTTTGCCTGGTGCTCCCGCAGAGGTCACAGCGTGGAGGAGGCTCCAGAATTGTACCCGCCGGGGATCCACAGGGAAAGAGGCTTTCGATGGATTTAGGGAGGGGGAAATGGGATGAGGTCCATCTCTTGGAGCTGGTTCCTGGCTGAGATGCTGGGATTTGTGAGTGCTCTCGCAAGGTGGTGTTGGATTTCATGGAATCACAGGCTGGTTTGGGTTGGAAGGGGCCTTAAAGATCATCTGGTTCCCAGCGCCCTGGGATTTGTTACCCGATGCTGCAGGAGCAGAGCAGCTGAAGGAATGGCTCGGTGGGAATTCCTGTGTGAGTCCATGAGGCATTAAAATTACAGACTGCAGGTTTTAAACCCACTGCTGCCCAGCCAGACCTTGCCAGTTCATAGAATCATAGAATCAGCTGGGTTGGAAGGGACCTCCGAGATCATCAAGCCCAACCCTTAATCCACTACCACTGTGGTTGCTAGACCATGGCACTAAGTTCTACACCTTCTGGCCCCCATCAGTGGGATCAAACGGGATCTGGCTGCTGGCTGGTCAGTTTTTAAGGATTTCTGTCCTCTGGCATTGCCAGAGATCTCCATCAGCAATCCTGGGACACATCTCTTAGAATCCCAGAATGGTTTTGGTAGGAAGGGATCTTAAAGCCCATCTCATTCCACCCCTGCCATGGGAAGGGACATCTTCCACTAGAGTTGCTCCAAGCCCCATCCAACCTGGCCTGGAACATTCCAGGGATGGGGAATAGGCCATGCTTCTCTAATAAATTGCTTTTATAAATGGATGCAAGTGGTTGCAAACGAGTGGGAGGTGATCACACATCAGTGGAGTGACCTGCTTAGGCAGCAAGGACACATTTCCCCCCCAGGGCAGCATCCCAAGGCTTTTGGGGACAGCTAAATGCTTCCTCTCAAACCCTGAGATCACTGAAAGTCTGAGCTCCATAAATAAAAGAACAAAGAAATAAACTCTTGCAGTGCTGAACAAGCCCAACGGCTTCAAAAGGCAACCTGGGCACAGGGACATAAAAGGACACAAGTCTAATTTTACATGGAATTGTAAAGCTCCCAAACGAGCTCCTCTTATCTGAGGAGTATTAGGGACAAGGAAGAGGTAATGTGTGGAAATGCTGCAACAGGGAGATTACCCTGAATTCTTCCACTTGAAAATTGGATCCTGCCAGGGGGAACGATAACGTGCCTGGATTTGTGGCCTGGTTGTCAAATTCATCTTCATTTGCACTGTAATTGGAACATCAGTTTCTCTGGCCATGTACCAATCTTTCCCGTTTCTTTCTTAATAGGCACAGCTTTTATATCAAGTGGAAAAGATTTGATAGAGATCATCTATTATGATGCAGTTTTTTAACCTGTAGAAGTGGATCTTGTGACGCTGCCTCTGGAGGGATCCAGCTTGTGCCTTGCCTTTGTTGCATGTTTATAAGGGAAGACTTAAATGTTGTGGCAGACTGTAAATATTAATATGTTGAAATAACCATATATGCTACAAGTATTTTGCAAACATGCCCTGGATCAGACATTCCCTCCCTCTCACAGCACTGCTCCAGTCAGATTTTAGCCTGGAGTCTGCAAGAGCTAATTGGAGATCCCAAAATAACCCTCAGCATAGGATGTGTCTCTCAAAGATGCTCTAATTAGCCAGACATTCCGGGGGTGATGCAGGAATTTGTGAGGGATAGAGATTCCTTTGAGTCTGAGTCACCTAAATAACCTGAATAACCTTCCCTTTCCTACTGGCAGGTGGCTGCTGGGGGTGGAATTAGCTGGCTGTGACCTCACGAGTGCCAGGGATCTTTCATCTCCCAATTTTCCCAAAGGACTAATCCCCACCTTATTATTTGTAGGGTTTTGGTGAAGGCCATAAAGCAGATAAAGGCCCTGTCGTGCCTGGCTCTGTGCAGCAGCTGGAATGTCTCCTCTGGGGAAGCTTTTCCCGACAAAACCCATTCTTGTTAAGAGATTTTGGCTCCAGGAACACCCTCCTGCTGCAGAACACGCAGCATTCCCATCTTCCCTGCCCCTTTCCCTGTGTGGTCAAAGCTTCTCCAGTCTCTATTCCAGCCTTTGGGTATAACTACTCAGCCTGGAGCTGGCACAGACCCGGGTTTTACACCCTCAGGGAGGTTGAGTGCTTTGTGGGATCCTGGAGAGTGAAACCCAGCTGGAATTCCAGAGAAACCCCCGGCACCTTTCCCTGGAAGGAGACTCTCACCCCCTGCCCGTTCCTCACCCCTGATTTCAAGTTGCTGTTTGGGTTGTTAAATAAAGCAAACGGCTTTGAGCTTTGTTCTATGGAATCACAGGTTCATGGAATGGTTTGGGTGGGAAGGGACCTTAAAGCCCATCCAGTTCCAGCCTCTGCCATGGGCAGGGACACCTTCCACTGGACCAGGTCGCTCCAAGCCCTGTCCAGCCTGGCCTTGGACACTTCCAGGGTGGGAATTCCACACCCTCTGTGGTATTTCGTGTCTAACTCAGCCTCACTGAAAGCACAGTGGTTTAAGCCTTTCCCTCGGTATGTCCCTCCAAAATTCCATCTTGGATAAGCTGGGTTTACGAGCATAGCTGGATTCCCTGTCCAGCACTTGGAGCAGATGATTCTTTTCGTACAGGACGAGCTTTTAAATTTGTATGAGAGCATCTGTCGTGAGCAGAGCCAAGAAAAACAGTTCAAGTGTGCATTTTCCCTTCCTTAACCCATCCTGCTGCTCTCCTAAAGAACCCTTGGGCTGAGGGTGATTCCTGCAGCTTGGATGGACCCTCCGAGAGGCCCCAGAGGAGGAGGGACCAGCTGGGATGTGTCTGCTGGGAGCTGCAGAGGAGAACAGGCTTCCCTGGGAACCAGCACATATGGAGCTTTTGGGGAGGAAAACGGGGCTTAGGGAAATTCTTCCTTAATTGATAAACCTGGAACACGTTGGATGAGACACTGGACACGTGTCCCGTTCGTGAGCTGTGAGGGGGAGGAATTCCTGCAGGTTATCCAGGGACTCCCATCCCAGTGGAGATGTTATTCCTCATTTTCTCCCTGGGAAGCTCCGAACACAAACCTTTGCTGTTGCTGCTCAGCTGAGCCTTCCACTGC